CAATAAATTAAATTGCTTGGATTTAATTGAAATTTCTTTACCAACGTGAATTTTTAATAAAATTCTGCTTATTATCATATTATATATTAATTGTTATTATAATATTACTATATTAATTTTTTATTTTATTATTATTATAATATTACTATTTTAATTTTTTATTTTATTATTATTACTATATTAATTTTTACATAGCAAGGCGATATTCTTATCTCGAAAAAGAACAAATTAACAAAAAGAATCGATTGTTATGTTGCATAACATAATATTCGAGAAAAAAGAAAATAACGAAATATAAATTATTAATAAAGTTTTCGCGTGACAAACGAATGATTTACGAATGATCGAAGATCGAAGGATACTCAAACGACACGTTGGCTCAAAGTCACTGTCGCCGATGAAATTCCACTAATGCACGGGCCACGAACGAACGTGTTCACGAAAACGTTCTTTAATCCAGCGTGGCGACAGTGATCAAAAGGGTTCTATTCGTCTCGCGTTTCTTCGTTGGCTGTTCCTTCGATCGGCTCGTTTATCATTCACTGGAAAAGCGAATCACGAGAGACTGAAGCTGAACGGTAAACTCGCCCCTGACGCAATGGCGAAATAGAGTGAAAAGGAGGGGAAATAAATTGGCGAACGGGTTGATGCGCGGACCAGCGATGTAGCAAGGTCGTAAAATCAATCACGCGTGAAATTGTCTCGTTTCTGGCGTTGAAACAAGCAAATTGGTAGAAATATGAGCAGATAAGAGCTCAAGATTCTATTAAAAAAAACCGTGGGAAGGAATTTCTAAGGCTGTGACAGCTTGTGTACATTGTGTGACGTCGCAGTACCCGCACACAATCCCCAGTATTGAATGTAGTTCTGATCGAATAACAAAATCGTGTAACGAACGGAGCGAATTTTTCTGCCGTATTGTTGTACGTTATACAAAGCATTTAAAAATGCTTTTCTCGCGCGAATGTCGCGATACAGTGATAAAACATTTCAAACCAATTTAGCTATAGAAATTATGAAATGTTTATTTTATTTTGTAAAAAATTAGTAAAACACAATTTAGTAAAAAAAATCAACTTAGGTGTTATCAAATTCTATTTTTTTTTTTTTTTTTTTTTAAATATTAGGACTAAGAAAAGAGATTTTAATTATTCGCATAATACTGAAGCTTATCGACACAACATGGTTTGTCCAATGATTTTCGCTGTGAAATATATATTTGCTACATTCAGTATTTTTTGTAATTTTGTTACAAATTTGTTTTCAACTTTTAATACGATCACGACAGTCGAGTGTCAATTTCGATCATTTCAAAATGTTTATTAAAACGTAGATACGTTGTGGGTGTATCATTTTTAATAAAATAAAAATAAATAGTTTTATTCGGTATCGATGCAGCGAATAAACAATTTAATTGTCTCATATCGTGCTATATTACAGACTGTACGTAATGATGATGATTCTATTTATACAATTGAATTTTGTGCCAAGAACTGTGTGTAATAATTATATATTATACTAAGTTATAATAACTTAAACAAAATATTATATAATACATAATATAATATTAATATAATATATAATTTATAGACTAATATGTAATGTGTATAATCGACGTTTCAACTCGATTATATTAATAATTGATGTAAACATTAAATAGAACGAAGGCATTATCTCGAATGTCAAAGTTCGTTTGTGATCAAACAGTATTAAAAATTCAAAAATTGAGTCAATGATAATCCCATTCGCTATTCAAAGAATTAACATAGAACCGAAGCAATTTTCTTTTCTTTTGTATTAAAGATATTTCTCCTTTCCCATTTCTCAATTTATGGAAACAGTAATTGAAGTTTGTAATTTCATTTACTTATGTAAACGAAATATTCTCAATCAAACTTAAGTGATTATTACCCATAATATTCGATTATTCCTTCGAATTTTCGTACCAACTATTTTATCAAACTCTTTTTTTAATGATAGAAATAAATGAAAATGTATATATAATGCTACATTTCGTCCACAAACTGGACTAATGAGATGATTCTAAAAGCATGTGACGGCTGGAAATCGTTCTGGCTTATTATATCTTAATGAGATAATTCGTTTTCGGGAATGGTATAAACTGCAAAATTTGATTGCTGTGGCGGAGAATTTACGAGTTTCGCGCAAACCATTTCATCTGACGACGAGTATTTAAACATTAAACATTAAGATGAGCAATATGCAGCACGTCCAAGCTGAAATACCACCTAACGTTGAAATACAACATAGCTATATTTGTGACATAACATTTATAAATATTTATGAAATATTTCGTTGCATACAGTGATTCTGTAAATTTTACGAGATGTATTATTTTCATAATATTACAAGAATTAATAAAATTATAAGAATAACATTACAATATTCTTCTAATATTATCAATTCTTACGATATAATATTTCTATATAATTTTCTATAAAATTATATTGATATCAAATGTATAAATAATATGATTATTAGAATGACTTGATTTGATCAAGCACGTTTCATTCGTTCATTATAGCTAAAACTATCGTAGCTAATGTGTTTGACCATTATAAATGTGTTAGGGCGAAAACTACAAAAATCCTGTTAAAACATTTCAATTAATAGCGTAATCCTGTTTGAAATCGTGTCACTTCACAGTGAACGGCATTTTTACTTCCAAAACAAATGACGATTTGCTTGCTCGAAGTGGTAATACTGTATGATTCAACCGACAGAGTAAAGCAGATATTAAGTAGTATGTATCAATTATTCACGACCCTTCCCTCATAAAGATTAGTACAAATTAATTTTGAAGGTTTTCTATTGTGAAACTAAATACCAATTAAAATATATTCTCGCGTATTGTAAATAGATATTCCTAAAATCTATGACTTTAGTAGAAATATATTAATAAAATATATAATTTAGTGAAAATATATTAATAAAATATAATGAAAGTTTTATGTAAAAGCAAACGTGAATAATGATAGATATCATTATTAGTATTATACATTATATTAGTAGTGTAATATTAATAGTATTATAATACTATTACTACATTATACAGTATATAATACTATATATTACTATTATTATAGGTAATAATAATATACTATTATCATTTATAATAATATACTATTTGTTATAAATAATAATAGTATTATACTAATAATAATATTAATAATGAAATAATATTATACTGTATTTATAAGAAAAAAAGAATAATTTGTACATTGAAACTGAAGACAATTAATTTATACTATAATATTTTTCATAAACAATAATATAAAAAATCTAAAAATGTTAAAATATAGGAACGACCGTTCTAAAAACACAAAATGTTCTATCTTTAAGGAAATAAACTACAGCGTACAATCGATCCTTTCAATCGTTTCCATAACGCGTACAAAATTTTCTGTCATCAAATCTTTGCGTCCACGATATTACAAAATTATTCAACGTTCTCGTCTTTCGATTTTCCTGCTTCAAGCGATATCATTGAAATCATATTATAGTAGATCGCGGAAAGTTCGAACACGAAATATGAAGCTGCATCAGTATTCGAGAAAAGTTATCATTTTTTTCAAGTACTACGGCTCATGGACAAAAAATAATCTTTATTCGTTTTTATTTTTTTCAATTTTTGTTCAATATATTTCTACGTGATATCACTGCTGTGACTGTCATAGGAGCTGACATAAACTAATTATAAACCAGTTAATTTTTCGTTTAAAGAGCCAAACAATAGATCTTTTTTTTTTTATAATATCAATATTTTTAAATTCAAAGATTTTTTTTGTTAAGAGCTTCTCTTGGAAGAAAACTTTAGAATATTACGTTTAATGAGAGATTCAATATCTAAAAGTGCATTGGATATATTTTATATTATAATTAAGCGTTGAGAAAAAGATCAAAAAATCGTTTAAATTTCTTAGTCGGGGAAATTGTAGGTAGTGTTATTTAGTGTTGTTTTGGTGTATATTTTGCTAGTTTTGGCTTTTTTCCGAGATTAATTCTCTCTTTCAAGGAGGTCTCAACTTGAATGTGGCATGCTGATCTGTTTTGAAAACATACAAAATTTTTTTTCGATCGATGATCATATCGTAGCAAAAATTAAATACCGACGTATAAATTTTACTGTTCAATTGATCTTGCTTTGAACAAGTTTCTTTGAAATGCACAGAATTTGAAATAAATACTAAAATTATTTTAAACTGACTCTGATAGTTTCCTCATTTTAGAAGATGATTAAAAGTCCCGTAACACGGGAGTGCCTTAAATTATACAAAAATACTCTGCAATTTAAACCAAGTACACAAAGTAATAATCTAAATTTTATATCTGTAATTTCAAGTATAAATTTTCAAGTTGCAAAATCACGGACGAAAAATTCAGCAAAACCGACGTGCAAAAATTCGTAAAGTGAGCCATTGCTCTCCCAACAGTTTTTCAGACTATGTCGAAAGTTTTTCTATTTGTACTGCCAAATCTTAAATTCTTCAACCGGCGAAGCCTATCACACACTGCAAGATTCAAGATGAAGATCGTTCGTTAGGTTTCATCCAGTCAGTGACAGTGTCACCTGTCGAGAATACAAACTCCGCTGTCAAACGTTGTTGAATAAAGTCGTCGTTCCCAAATCAATTCGACGTCACGGTCGTCCGAAACTCGGAGATTCGACTCGGGAAAGCAAGCGATTCATCGAAGCCTTCGGTCTCTCCGATGGTAGATCGAAGGCCACCATCTTTCGAGGTCAAGCAACCGAGCCGAACGATAGCGTTATCCGCAGGAATTTCCACGAGAGACGATCTTATCGATAGATAGCTCCAGCTCACTCTCGATCAAAATCGCGGAGACAAAGAAAGAAAGAAAGAAAGAAAAAAAAAAAAAGACAAAAGCCCCCCTTTGCCAGGAGAAAGACAGAAAGAACTCGTCTTGACGATGGTACGTTACTCGTTGTTTCTCTTTTTCTTTTTGCCGACTGTCGCCAGGAGTGACCATTCTGCTGTCGCTGACAGTTTTCCTGAACCTCGTGGCGGAAAGCATGCCGACCACCTCGGACGCTGTCCCTCTAATAGGTACCTATCATCATCACGCAACAAACGCAATAGTTCGCGCAAGCGTGTGTGTTTTTTTTTTTCTTTTTTTTTCTTTTTTTGACAGTTACGTTTTCTCTCCATGTAAATAAATATTGTTGCACACGTGCACCGTGTTCTGTCTGTGCCTTTTGTCGTGTTTTTTGAACGTGAAGTTCGCCACCTCAATTTTTCCCTCAAGGAAAACAACGCGAGAGAGAAGTCGCGTTCTTGGAAACGGGTAAGAAACCCTCGAGGGTCGTTCAGACGCGAGAAAGGGCGATTTTCGTCATCTTCATTGGACTCCCTAAGGTGAATCGCGCTTTCACGATGGACGGGTGTAATATTGGGGCGAGGGAAATGGTGGAGAGCGGCTCTCTTGTCCGAACATCGAACGCTCAAACGTCGAAGAAATTGCCCGGCGCGTCGCGATTACACGGCTGCCTTCGGCGGTGAAACGATTTTCACGCTGTCCTGCTTGTTCCGTGGCTTTCCGTTCTGCTAGAATAACGTCAATCGCGGCTTGTTACTTGATAAAAGGGTAGTTTCATCCCTTGACGTACGAATTTGACCGTTTTAGTACAGCCAGGGGCTGTTCAACACGTTGATCGCCGTGTCTGGGTGACGTTCTTAATTCTAAACTTTCCAGGCGTGAAATGATGTAACAGTGTTTAATAGAAAAATTAGTTTTTGACGGTAAATTAGATTTTCAAGTTAAACGAATTAAATTGTCGAACGACGATGTAATATAGTAAATTGTCAAATTATTTTGAAGAAGTCATAACTACTTTATTTATATAAAAATACATGATAGTGTAACAATGTCGTTTGTGATATATTGGAAAAGATTTAAAAACGAAAGCTGGCTAACATTTAGGGCCTCGTAACTAAACTTGGCAAAGGTAATTTTTATATTTTAGACTGTGCAATGTCGTAAACACAATACTCGTGAACAAAATTAATAGAAAGCGATGAAGGAACAAATTAATAATGTTGTTTTACTTTTAAAGAGACAGTGGAGTGAAAGAGAGTGATTATCTTTTGCTTTTTCTTTTTTAAATAATGTCTTATTATCTTTTGGATAATGATTCGACGTATCGAAATTGTTGATTCTCTTTGTTAAAGTACAATTTGATGAACTCTTTTGGAAGAAACTGTTTTAAATTCAATGTTGAATAAAACGTACGAGATATCTCCACGATTAAAAAAATATTGAACAATAATTGCAATCTGTTCCTGCTGGAATTATGCACTAAAGCAACAAATCGAACTTGTCGTAGTTCAATATCTTTCTTTTTTTCATCATTTTATGTTAGTGATATGAAATACGGACACTTAATAGTACAGTTTATAAAAATGTAAAATATAAACTGAGGATAAATGCTTCGCACAATTGCAAACGTTTTTTTGATGAAGATAAATTGCTAGCAAAGGAGATAAAAAATGTAAAATTCCACCGTAAAACAGTATTTTTACGTTTTTCTCGTTTAACAAATTAAGACGAGCATATTCATCACAACGAAATCTCAATTTTCTGCCGCACGAAAAAAGTAATTAACATTAAAAATTGAAATTTTAATAAAAAAAATGAAACATACTCGAATTTTCGTACATTTCAGAATATTTCGAAGCAAACTAAAAAAAAAAAAAAAGAAAATAATAATAAAATTCGTTTGAGAAAAACTAGGGTAAAATTGTAATTTTCCGAGATTGATTTTGAAATGCAAAAATGGAACTACACTCAATTATCGATCGATCGAATTACGCAGATAATATAATACTTGGTTAACTTAAGCGTTTGTTTTATTCTGAGAATGTGCACTGGTGTGCTTAATTATTTCTAGGCAATGATGAGTATACTCGACGAAAAGACAGTAAATACACTTGCTGTAAGATCGAGTTAAATTATAACGATAAACATTTTTGGTGTTACTCTGAAAAATTTTTAATTTCATTGGTATTTATGGTATTTACAGAACTTAATGTGTCATTTTTTAAAAGTAAATTCCATAAAAAAAAACCATTAAAAATTCAAAATGTGGAGAAAGGAAGTCAAATTTTCATCAATTCGTAAAAAGAAATAAAAAATGAAATATCTGCAAAATTAAAATGATTAGAGATGAATTTAATTTGTTTCTGCATTGTATCGATTGCGACAAGTGCATGTTTTCTTGATTTCTCGATTTCGTTGCCTTGGAATATTTTAAAACGTGCTTTAAAAATCGCAAATGTATGTAATTCTTTTATATAAATTTTACAATAAATAACAAAAGCGAATTTTCTTCTAAACGACGAGTATACTCAACATAAAGGCTCAAACTAAACGATCTTCTGGAAAAACCTCCATCCAGATTAAGTCGAAAGATAATCGCTGTTATCGATAGTCTTCCAAAACTCTCGAGTCTCGAACGCAATGTTAACAAATTTTTGCACGCCTGAAGTCTCACAGATCTAAAGTAAAACCCTCACGATTCGCGTCTCGGTTTTCAGCGTTTCCTCTCCGTTCAGTTATTTTCATAGCAGATCGTCGGTTTCGCGGAAAGTCGAGAAGGGAGACGGTCATCTTTCGGCCGTAACGCGATGTTTCGATGCTGTCGTCCCAGCTGGAAAAGTGCTGAAGGCTCGGCGAAACGGAAGACGCCATTAGCCGAGGATATTTCGCTCGGTTACTTTCGCGGGGATTGAATTTTCCTTCCGGCGGTTGACTTCGCCGGGAAAGATTAAATATCTGACGGCTCTCGTCGATCGCCAGACGCGAATCAACGAAATTTGTAAAACCATTTAACCCCTTAAAAGCATTTATGTCGAGTACACTCGTCACGAAAAGATGAAATTTTTTAGTTTAATGTCGAGTATACTCGTTATGTAGAAGAAAATTCGCTTTTACTATTTATTGTAAAATTTATGAAAAATTTAAAACTTCTAATTACATTAGAAAATTTATATTATATTATATTATATTATAAATTTATATTGTAATTTATGTTATATTATTATAAAGTTTACTACTATAATTACATTACAATTGCTTAGTTGATTTACATTCGAATATTCGTTCGTACGTTTTTTGCCTGGTACGATGCGAAAAATTAAAAAAAAAGTATTGTACTTTGTGAAAAATAATCGTCGTTCTTAAACAGATTTCGTCCAAAGGGACGATTCAAGGAAACGTCCAAATCATTTTAACTGAGCCTCGACGAATGGGACGCAGCTGTAATAACCGGCAGTAATTCAAGCAATTCTTGCTTTAATTAGCAATTTGCTTTAATCAACCTCGGTTTTAATTGGCTCCCGTTACTGAAACATCGCGTGTTGCAACATTGCATTTCAATAGCAATCTTATGGCAGAATTTTTCGGTGAGAATCTCCAAAAGACGATGGATTGACGAATATTCAGCTCGCGACCCGGATATGTCAATAAAATTCAACGGATACAAGAACTATTTTTCTTGCTGGTGTGTCTGGCTTTCTCGTTTTGATCAATCACCCTTGAGGGATTTTCACTGTGAATTATTCAAGCACACTTTTTGCTTAAAATCCATCCCCTTCGAAACGTGTCGTAATTGTCAATTTTTTTTTTTCGTTGAATTATTTTCAAAATTGATTTCCACTCTATTTTGCTGCACCGACGAAGTAAACGAAATTAAAAAGATTTTAACGACGAAATATCGAATTTTCAGTGACACGTATTTATTCAAGTAATTTAATAAAGAAATAAAAATTACTTTCATTGGCAAGTATATCACTTCGTATAATTTCCTTAAGGTTTTTATTTTTTTAATCATTTGCACAGTCAAATATTTAAAAAGGAACTAAATAGTTTTCTAATGTTTAACACAATGTAATTATATTAAATTCGCATTCGTTTCGATCAATTTAGTCAAGTATAATTTATAACTTCAAGGTAACTGAGTACAGTGTAACAGAATTACACCAGTTTCTTGAAATTTTCACTTTGCTCCTAAATTTCCTTTTTCAACTTCACTCGCGAATTTTCAGTGACACGTACTTATTCAATTAATTTAATAAAGAAATAAGAATTACTTTCATTGGCAAGTATATCACTTCGTATAGTTTCCTTAAGGTCGGTTTTTTATTTTTTATTTTTTTAATCATCTGCACAGTGAAATATCAAAAAGGGAACTAAATAGTTTTCTAATGTTTAATTGCGTTATTATGTTAATGTAATTATGTTAAATTCGCATTCGTTTCAATCAGTTTAGTCAAGTATAATTTATAATTTCAAGGTAACTGAGTACAGTGTAACAGAATTACACTAATTTCTTGAAATTTTCACTTTGCTCCTAAATTTGCTTTTTTTCTTCCCTTTCATCTCGTTACCACTGAATTCTAAATCCTTGATTCAGTCACATCGTACCTACTGCTACATTTCAATTCGATTAAACGAGAGATTTGAATTTGAAACTCGCCCGTAATCGAATCGCCCTGTTATTGCAATTGGAGGGATTCAATTCGTAATTCTACGCAATTCCGAAGAAAATACCGAGACACCTCGGTCACGCGAACATTTTTCTTCGAAAAAAGAGTCGTTAAATCGCGTTTTGCATACCTTGTGCAAGTTTTAAGGGCCATTGAGGCCGGCCAGGCGCGTCCCGGAAGTTGTAACGCGTTTACGTCGGACAACTTTCCTCCCAACGTTTCTCGGTGCAAGTCCTTTCTGCGGTCCGTCGGACACATTGAACATCCAGAACCGTTTTCTCACAATAAATCTCAAAGCGCAACCGAAAACATTTTTCCTCTATTTAACTCTCGTTCGTTTTCTACGCCAATTTGACACATTTTATAAACATTATAATATTATACTGTGCTATGAGTAAAATACAAGCTGTCCCATATGAAACTAAGCAATTTTATTTCCTCTCAAGCTATTTGCTATAGAGAAAAATATTTCAAATGAAATTCAAGCGTCGTTAACGTAAGCGGCGTGTTAAATGATCTTGAACTTGAAAGTATACGGTTCTATTAAAAAAAAAAAAAAAAAA